ATAACTTTGTTGCGCCACCCTATAAAGGAATTACCTATAATGATGAAAATATTTTTGGACCATAGAAAAAAATAAATGTCTATTGTTCAAAAAAAACGCATTTCGTTATCTTCTTTATTGTCAAAGTAATCGAAGAAATACGGAGCTCTGGGACATCCTGTATATGCATATCTTATTAGCTAAGTTTTCTAAGAAGTTTGAACCTGACTTACAAGAAGGCCAAAATATGTTAGCTTGTAATGTACTTGAGTCCTATTTTTAATTTATAAATTATTACAGTGTAAAATAAGTTATAAAATTAAATTCAACATGTTTCATTTTGGAAAAACTCACTTGTTCAATGAACAATAAAAGCGCAAACATCATTAATAATTAAATAATCTTTCAACAAAACACAGATTAATGAAATAATCCGATTTGTCTCATATGAAATTTAATTAATGGTTGGAAATTTATCGGTAATAGAAGTCCCAAACAATAGCACGTGTGAAATCCGAAGTGTGTGCCCCCACCTGACATAAAATAACCAATAATAAATCAATAGAAATGATTCATGCAGTGAGGGTGAGGCAACACGAAATTGGACTTCCACCACCATGGAACTACCCTCTCTAACTATCTCAATATTCCCCTAGAACCAATATATTGCCTGACATAACGCAGAAAGAAACATCAACAACACACATCCGTGAAGACAAGACATAAAACATTGTGCGCCCTTGTTTGAAGAGGAAATTTTGAAGGGTGATAATCGACTAAACTGAAACGCACACATCTTCTTCTTTGGGTTATATTGCTGTGACTAATGCCCAACCCTCGTGTAGATAAAACGCGAAGCTATTGTGCATTTGTCTTCCTCTATAGAGTTATTAGGCGCTACATTTACCGGCAAAAACACGTGACCACTAAATCAAAAACTGCCCGCCTCAAGGGTAAAATTATCCCCGTTGTAGAAATAAACGTCAATAATTGCGTTTCTACGTGGGAATTACGATAACGATTCATTTTCTTAATTGCTTCCTTTTGGTCGTGCATGTGCCGCATAAATTCACCTATTTTCATAAATAATAAAGTTTTATCTTTACCCTCCCGCAACGCAAAATAAAGGAGTTCCAGAAATATTTACTTGTAGAATACAAAGAATTGATTAAGTTTTAAATTACGTTGTTAAAAGAAGCATTGGGAGTACTTCCGGTGACACCGGAATCAACTTTGTTATTTTCAATAGAAAGTTATGTTTTTTATTGCGTTTTTTGGTGATTTTTAGAGAGTTTGAATTAGATTTCCCTATACCTAAATTTAACCGTTTTTGAAATATTTAGATTTTTTTGAAATTTTTTTAATTTGCATATTCCTCTTCAAAAATCGATAACTCTACCATTTTTAATTATATTGAAGTGGTATTTGGGCATACGAAAAACAAAGGTTAGATCTTCTTTCTCGTGTTTTTATAATTGGAAAAATAATTAACAAACCTCTAAAATTTAAGGTTACGTTTGGGAAACTTCAAATGCCCATAACTGAATTTTTTCAAATGGAAGGTCCCAGTTTTTTCTCCACTAAATGAAAGAGAATTTATTTCTGCATCGATTTATCAACATTCCCTGTACCTAAATTTAATGATTGGAAAAAATTCATTACTATTCATGGTAGTTTTTGCATAGTTTACCATGGAAATATTTCTCACTGAAAAAACGCCAAATTTTTTTCATAATTGTATTAAGTATTCTTCTCGCAAATACAAATTAAATTTATTTAATCTAACTTTATATTCTATTTTTTTCTTATTTCTAAATTTCTCACAATATCAAAAAAATTTACTATAACTTGAAAACTGTTAAACATAGGTATAGGGAATGTTAATACAGATCGAAGCAGAATTAAATTCCCCTCCATTTACTGAAGAAAAAATTGGGGTGTTTCATTTAGAAAAATTGAGTTAAGGGTATTTGAAGTTTCCTAAGCGTAACCTTACATTTTGGCAGTTTGTTAATTATTTTTCGAATTATGAATACACCAAAGGAAAGATCTAACCTTTCTCTCTCGTATACCCAAATACGGTTTCAAGATAATAAAAAATGGTAGAGTTATCGATTTTTGAATAAGAAGATTAAAATCTAAATTTTTTTAAAAAGGTCTAAATACTCGTATTTCGAAGACGATTAAACTTAGATATAGGGAAGGCTATGAAAACTCTTTCAAAATTACTTGAGTAATCCAAAAACGCAATAAAAAATATACCTTTTCATTTAAAATAACGAAGTTAATAACAGGAAGTGCCGCCATCAAAGAAAATATTGAAATAATGTGTGAATCTGTTTTAAAATCGTCGAAATGGAGCAGTGTACTCCCCCAGAAGTAAGAAAAACTGCTACAAAAGCAATTGAATACTAATTTAGCAAAATATTATGAGTAATTTGACAACTTAAGCTATCCTGCACATTACCGCCCAAGAGAAGTAATATTATTACTCCTCATGAGATTTAATGATGTGTTTCCCAACTTTTAAAAGGTTAGTAATCAGCATATTATAATAGTGATTTCATTCATGTAAATGCAGTTGGTGTTGAAAAACTACTTCCCATATTAAGTTTCAAAAATGACAATTACATAAATAACTAAACGATCAGTAATAATTTATTTAACAAGAAGATTGTTAAAACACCTTGAAAGTTAATACAGAATGTATCAGAATTCGCGTTCCAGAGAAAAATTTTAAGTAAGATAACATCAGGAACATGGAAAAAATGTTTTTTTCTATTTTGCGTCTGAAAGAAAGCTTATTTCGATACCAAAACCAATGCTTTAATGAGCCATTTCAACACCAATTTGGGTGCTGAAATAAACTAATACAATTTACTTTCTAGAGGTTGGTAATGGTGATTTTCAGCGGCGTTTTGAGCGATTTCAGGTGGTGTGCATGAAATATTTGCAGTATTCATTGTTAATTCAACAAAATTTTGAAAAATATTTGAGACTTGACACGAATTTTTCAAACTTCGTGACATTTATTACCAACCACCACATTATTACGGCAAAGTTTCTAAATTTTGAAAAATTGTCTTTTATGATAAAAAAGTACGTAAAACCCGCAAAATAGCATAAAATAATATTAAAAAATTCTATCTGTCAAAAAATTTTGACATTTATTGTGGACATTTGACTTTTTTATGTCTACTTTATGATAATGATAATGTTTTTTTATAAATAACATTAGACAGAGACAGCTTTTTTGTTTCCTCTTCTAATAGCCTGTAGCAAAAAACCTTGGAAAATTATTTGTCTAACAGAAATAGAGTGAAAGTGCAAGATTTAAACTCTCATAACTTCGAAATTTTTATAGGTTGAATTTTTTTTACATTTTTTCCATCTTACCTTACATGGCGCATTCTGTATTTATCGAAGATTGTTTATAATTAAATATTGTGTTTTTTTCTGACCCAACAGTTCGAAAATATGCAACCATTCATACAGAGGTATAATATACAATATTTAACAATCAATTTCACAAAAATTTTACCTTGAAACATATTTATGGACCAGCGTAGATGGAAAAAAGTGGGACTTGTATCAGTAGTGTTTTAATTGGTTAGTTGCAATCAACAGGCAGATTTAATTACATTTGTGGTTTTTAGTGATAAACAAGGTATGGCCAACTCAGAAACTATAGAAGAATTGTTTAGAAGAACTCCAGAGGATCTAGATTTTGTAATAGATGGCATGCATTTTGGCCGAGGCGATTCTTATCACGCCGAAAACACGTCCACGCATTTCAAGCACAAAACAACCGAAGTGAAGTGTTGGCAAATCGTAGATGAAAAACTCCAAGTGCTTGAAGAATCAAAAAATGAATTTTACACCTCGGAAACTTATATTATTCGATGGAAATCAAGCACGGAACATTTTCGATCTGAGCAAATTTTGAATACAACAGAAAACGAGATTTATTTTTATTGGAAAGGCGAAGACGCGTCCAAAGGATATTCACCATTGCCTGAGTCTATAGAAAAAGACAATCCTCCTGTTGAAAGAATAGTCCAATGGGCCGAACCACCGGCTTTTCTTCACCTATTTTCGGGAAAGTTTATCGTGCATATTGGAAAACACGGTTTTTTAAATGCGGCGCCACACTTGTACATCCTCAGAGGCGAGCTTGAGAAGGAAATACATTTATACGAACTGCCGCTGAAAAAAGGAAATCTGCGAAGTAGGACTTCATTTGTGGTTTTTTTTCCACACGAAAAATCCACGATTATTTGGCATGGGAAAAACTCAAATTCCCACAGCAGAGCATCGATTAGAAAAGCGACTGAGGACGTTTTCGGCTCCAATTGCACGGAAATTAGCCAAGGGTCTGAAAACGAGAAATTTCTAAATTGTTTTTGCAACGATGAAAAAGAGTATTTTGATGCCCCCCTCAAAAAAATCGATTATACGCCAAGATTATTTTATTTTAATACAATCACGGGGTGTTTTCTTGCTACTGAAATTGGGTGTAGCCACAGGAGTTCACACATAACTCCGCTCCCGTTTCTTCAGTCCCATCTTTACAGTCCCGAACAACCAGGTAAATAACACAAGGCGACAAAAAAAGTCATGTCGTGACAACTTGACAAATTTTATATCATTTTGTTCGTCTCAGTAAGACAAATCAAATGCACTAAAAAAAAATTTAATAATAAATAAATAAAATACTTTAAATTTAAAAAATCATTACTTAATAACTATTAAGCCGATTTCCTTCAAATAAAGACCATTCTAAAGGGATGGACTTGCCCTTTAGAATGATATGCAATTTGAAATTGTTTATTGGCAAACTTTTCTTCGAACAGTGTTCGAAGAAGTTCGAAGTAAATCGAAATAATCTAAGAAAAACCCTACGAGTAAATTTTTTTTTCTTCGTAACCATCGTGTAGAGCATCTCTTTATTAGTAAGAATCCAAATTTTTAAAATAATATACCGAGTAGTTTTCAAGATATGATTTTTTGAAGTTAAGTTTTGCTATTCAGGTATTGCGCCAAATAGGAGAAATGCATGTTAATCTTACTTAAAATTATATTTTTATAAAAGTATTTGTTTTAAGACTCTTCTTTTGCTTAAAAATGGTCAATTGCACCTTCTTTGTTCTAATTAGAATAAACAAAAATTGTTTCTTTACTTATAACGAGTACCTGCAGACTAATTAAAGCAAATAAAGAGTTTTTTTGTTCTAAAAATGATCACTGATCATTGAGCAAAGAGGATCTATAAGTTTAAGGCACGAGCCTTAAATATAAGGGCAAATCTTTTTCAAATCAAATCACTAAGCAACTGACTTATTGCATTCAACATCAGTAGAAAGTGATGAGAAAAAATTTGCTGAGAACATTTTCAAAAAAAAAGTTCAGAAAGCTAGAACAAAGTGAACAATTAAGAATCTGAATGGAAAGTCATTTAATTTGAAAAAGATTTGTTCTTATATTTAAAGTTACTGCTTTAAACTTCTAGATCCTTTTTGCTCAATGACCAGTGATCATTTTTAGAAGAAAAAAACTCTTTATTTGCTTTAATTAGTACGCAGGTACTCTTTGTTTGTTTTAAGTAAAGAAACAGTTTTTTGTTTATTCTAATTAGAAAAAAAAAAGTGCAATTGAGCATTTTTAAGCAAAAGAAGAGTCTGAAAACAAATACTTTTATAAAACTGCAATTTTAAGTAAGATTAACATGCATTTCTCCTATATGGCGCAATACCTGAATAGCAAACCTTAACTTCAAAAAATCATATCTTAAAAACTACTCTGTATATTATTTTAAAAATTTGGATTCTTACTAATAAAAAGATGCTCTACACGATGGTGACGAAGAAAAAAAATTACTCGTAGGGTTTTTCATAGATAACTTCGATTTGCTTCGAACTTCTTCGAACACTGTTCGAAGAAAAGTTTGCCAATATTAAATTTTAAATTGCATATCATTCTAAAGGGCAAGTCCATCCCTTTAGAATGGTTTTTATTTGAAGGAAATCGGCCTAATAGTTATTGAGTAATGATTTTTTAAAGTTAAAGTATTTTAAATTCATTTAAATTAGAAAAAAATTATTTTGTTCAAAGTGTGTGGACTTTTTAAAATTTTTTTTAGTGCATTTGATTTGTCTCACTGAGACGAACAAAATGATATAAAATTTGTCAAGTTTTCACGACATGACTTTTTTTTGTCGCCTTGTGTAATTCAAATCAATAAAATTTTGAATAAAATGAAAATTTTCAGCGATTTTTCTTCTGGACGACAACGACGAAATTTGGATCTGGTATGGATGGGAGCAGGAGGAGAACGACGACTTCAAAAGCGAGTGTTTTATCGCCGCCATTGATTATGCGAAACAGAAAAGCAAAAATATCAAAAGACTGGTCAAACTTCAGAAAGTAATTGCCGGTTTTGAACCGGAAGCATTTACACATTTATTTCCCTTTTGGGAAAAAAGACAAGACATCGCTCAACTACAAGAAAAGGTTGGTATTGGAAAAAGTGCTTTTTCGTTTTGTTGTAAGGTGGGTATGCTCACCTAAAGGAGTAAATCAGGTTTTTAATTGTTTTAGGCTGGTGTGTTGCTAAGTGCAAATCCTCTCATTGAAGTTATCTCGTCAGAGGAGTCTCCAGAATAACTAATTAAATTTATGCATTTTTCATGTGAATTTTAAAAGCCCACTCATTGATTGTGTTGCATTTTTTGTAGGAGTGTAGTGGTAATAAAAATTTATTTTAAAAATTACAATACATATAGGGTGTCCCAATGAAAACGAGCCACCACGAATATCTCAGAAACTAAAGACTTTGCAAAAAAGCCAAAACAGATCAGTTTTGCTTCTTTACCAAAATTGAAGCAGACCAACCATTCATGAGATACAGGATGTTCTAATAAAACGAACCAGAAAGAATTTGCAAAAAAAAAACGAAACAGGTTAATTTTATTTTTAAAAAAGACATTTTTTGACGATTTTAAAAGCGCCCCCAATAACCCTTGAACTTTTCCCACCTCAATTTCAAATGAAAATGTTCTTTGAAACCCTTTTCTAAAGTTGAATGGGATTATCTATTCATAAGATATTCACAAAAGATAATGTTTCTAATTTGTAATTACTTCTAATAAAAACTATTAAAATAAATTACCAAACTTATTTTTTTTTCGTTAGTTTATTGTCAAAATAATTGTACTAACTGCGGGTAATAAAGTTTCTTATAATTTAATGTAAGTACAGTTACGGAATTAAAATTTCGGGCAGTATTTCTCTGTCAAAAAGTTCGCTGTAAACTATCTTTTACTGTCATCATGACATACATTCATGACTGACATTTGACAATTAAACTTTTCTGTCAGTGACGCTACTTTTAAAAGATAAAATGACATAAACATGACAAGAGTAAAAAATGAGGTTATTAATGTAAATGTTGTTTTAGAGTTTACATTGTGAAAATGACAATATTGCCCGAAATTTTAATTCCGCAACTGTACCTAAAAAATAGTTAAGTTCCTTTGTACAGTTACATTAATAACCTCATTTTTTACTCTTGTCATTTTGACTTATATATTTTCAAAAATAGTGATTTGTGGCATAATAACGGGTAGGCAGCAGATCAAAGCGATGATTTAATTACACTTAGTTCAATTAATAAATTTCCTTAGACAGACAAATTGTTTAATTAACAATTTTAACAACAAAAAAAAAGTTTAATTGTCAAATGTCAGTCATGATGACAGTAAGAGGTAACTACTTTACAGTGAACTTTTTAAAGTGACAAAAAAATATTGCCCGAAATTTTAATTCCGCAACTGTACATACTGAAAGATTAGTTTTTTAGCCGATATTTTATGAATATTTAGAAATCATTTCATTTTGGAAAAAAGCTTTTAAAGAGCATTTTAAAAGTGTTTTAATTTTTTGTATCACCAGTGGTTGTTGCGTTTTTGCAGTCTTTTTAGTTTTCATTGGGACACCCTGTATACCATTAACTGGTCCACGAAGTTAGAATTTCCACAAACAGGTACAAAAAAACTTGATGGCGGTCTAGTATATATTAAAGTTTAAATTTTTCGTAATAAAAGAATAACAATAAAAATTACAACTCCCAGTTCTCTTAAAAATCACCTATCACAAAGTCACGCCACAATCACAACAGCTAAAATTATAATCTCTTCTTTTTCATCAAGGCTTTCCGTTTTTTCTCTTCTTCTTCTTGCTTCATATCTTCTAAATCCTCCATGATACCTTAAATAACAAGAATGAGACTTTTATCTAAAAACAACCAACCAAATTACCAATTTTCGTACTGATCACTTCTTCCCTCATTTGTTGGGCAAACGTAGATTCCATATTATCAATATCATCGTCAACGTTTCTGTATTTCGATTTATCATAGCCGAAAATTTCGCTAATATATTTTGAGTAATCTTCACCTTCTTCAGGTCCATCATCTATGAAATCATCCATTTCAGAATCATACTCCTCATCGTCCAAAATTCGCCCTGAAATCACAACATAAGAGAAAAAAAAACGACTTTAGTTTTATTTACTTTTGTTGACCAGCGGTTTTCTCTTTACATCACGAGGAGGAAAATCTTTTCTTCTGACATCAGGAGGCGGGAATTGTTTCGGTTTCAGATCTTTAGGAGGAAATTGTTTTGGTTTAAGGTCAGGTGGTGGTTTTTTGGGTGTAACTTCTTTGCTACTCAATTTTTGAGCTTCTTTTTTCCTTAAATCATTTAAATCTTTGACTTTGTTCAAATTACTTGAGCCCGGTTTAATGTGAGAAGGCACAGATTTTTTATCAATGATGGGCTGGTTATTTGAATTAATTTTCTTTGTGGTTTCAGGCATTTTACTACCAACTTGACTTTTTTTTATCAGATCTGCAGGACTTTTCTTTGCCAGATCTGGTAAATTTTTCTTTGTTAAATCACCGTTCAGTTTTGGAATTTTATTCACAGGTGGTTTCTCCAAAGGTGGGAGTTTTCCCTCCTTCCTGTCCCTCCATTCTTTCTCCCTTTCCAATTCTTTTTTCTGTTTTTTCGTAAACAATTTTTCTTCTTCTTTCGGCTTCTGTTCTATTATTATAGGTTCAAATTGTTTTTTCTCGGCTAGTTTCAGTAAATCGTTGAAATTTAATGGCGGAGGTGCTGTGGGTTTTGGTTTAGGTTTCGGTGCCACTTCCTGTTTCTCATTTTCAATTTCTTCTTCATCTTTGTGTTTTCTTCTCCGTTTGTGGGGCATGTTTGCCTCTTCCCGTTCCCTCTCAATAGCAGCCCTCACCCTTTCCTTAGTACTGTTTAAATCAGTGCTTATTTTCTTCTTTTTGTTTAAGCCAAATTTTGGTTCATCAGGCATTTTGCTGTACTTTTCCATCATTTTATTGTAAAACGCTGCTGCTTCCTGTGAAACATAGCCATAGTCATCTTCGTCAGGTTGAATAGGACCGGCCAGAGTCACTGAAGTGTTGTTTGCATCAATAGCGTCTTGAAGAACAGACTGGTTGGCGGATTTGGTACGTTTTAGCATCACATTTACCCTTCTTGTTGCTTTTTTGTCCTAAAATTGCGACCATAAACACTAAAACGACTCCTTAAACTCTTACTTTAGCTCTTAACGCCAACAGTTCTTCTTTTTTCTTCAAGGCCTCTAATTTTTTTCCTCTCTCTTCAGCTTCCTTTTTCGCCAAAAACTTTTTAATGTTTTCGGATAACTGTTTATTGCGTTGCTCCTTCTTCGGGGGCTCAAACTTCGTACTGTAATACCTGGCAGGCTGAAATTATCCATGAACTTGATGAAATGTTCCAGAAGAAATTGTTGTTGATGTAACAAGTGACTAAATTTACCTCTTTCTTTGCGACTTTCTCATTTTTTTGGGCGGTGTGCAGAAGTGTGCCAAAATCCATGTTTTTCCGTAAAAATTTCTCGAAAAAGTTGCAACAAAAACAGCAAAAATGCGATTTATGTCATGACATATTTCACTTTTACGTCGTACATGTCATCATCCGCCATTATCACTGAAATAAACGCGAAGGTAGGCGCAAAAGTTGTAAACATAGGCACAACACGAACACCAAAAACCCCAAATAAAACAGCGGGAAATACGAATTTTACAAATTTATTGCTTGAATTACAAAAGATTTTCCTCTGATCGAATGTACTCTCCGATGTCTGCTTGGTGGAAACAAACGGGCGTCAATGGATCTGCATGTTTACATTCTGCTGTCGATCTTGCCGCAACCCCAAACCCTAAGGGCAAATCAGACATACTATACACCAAAACCCCCTGGTATTTCTCCGTATTTTCACTAATTCTGCCTAATCCAGCCTTGGAAACATGATTACCATAAAGAAATTGTTGTTCTGCTGACGGTTTTAGCCAAATTTTGCACTGAAATTACACACTAATTTTCCACTTTAACAACCTTGGACTCACCTGAGCATAAGGCGCCAGATAACTCAACGCAGTTATGTGCAAACGAAATTTATTCGATTTTGTAAACTTCCCAAAACATGTTCCTGCAGAAATTAGTTGGTCTGCTGGCACACTTTCGGCCAGTTTTAAAATTTTCTCAGAAATGTAGTAAACTCGGTCTTTCTGTTCACGAAAGCAGTAAATTCCATCTGCTCGCTCTATTAGTAACTTAACGTTGGGTCCTATACTAAAATTAGTAAAATTACACACGTGATTGATGTTTTAGAATACTTACTATTTTGCCAACTTTTCAAACAAGGTTTTGGTTCGTTCCTCAGAGAGTCTTTTCATTTTTAATATATTTCATTAATTTCCAATGTAATATTATTATCGTATTGATTGTAATGGTTTTTGAGGTTAAAACTTGTTTTAAATTGTTGGTGACTTTTACTTAGTGTTTCCCCCTCTTAGCGATGGTCAACCTGTAGAGCGCCAACTTTGATTGAGGAAATTGCTTTGATTTGTTAAAATGACTACAAACGTTGGATTTTATTAAATATATTTGTAGATTCATAAAATAACGTTTTAACAACATTTAATAAGATTTAAAATCAATACCTCACACATTAAGAAGGTAAACAGGGAGATTCTTTGTCTTCAGCAAGTTCCATTAAACTGGACTTGATTTCTTTACTAATTTCTTCTGCTTCTGGTACCTCTGATATAACCCAGGTATCATCAGTACTCTCCAATTTTTCTCTACAAATCGGGCATGTATCGTGATTGGCATTCCTTAAAAAAATTCAGTTCGTTTAAATAAAAACATGACACAAAAACAAACCATTCTTCTATACATGGCAAACAATAACTGTGCATACAGGGTAAAATAACTTCATGTTTTCTTTCTAAACAAATGCAACATTCTTTTGTGTTGTCTGCAGGATTATCTTTAATATTGTTGACCACTTGTGAAACAGACATTCCACTAGTGGGAATAAAATCAGTAAGCAACTATTTAGGTAAATTGTCATACCTCCTGCTCTGTTCTTCAGCTGAAGACTGACATTTAAGTGTCTTGAACACTTTTAAAAACTCGTAGAGATTTAACAGTCGGTATGTATGCACTTTCTGAGTGTTAGAATCAATTTTTACGCAAGCTATTTGCACAGTAGCTTTCCAGAAAACAGTAGAATCAGTCCCTTTCTTAACAGCAAAAACTAATTGCTTCCCTTCTGAATCTAAACGTTGTTTTGAACTAAAATTTCCAAATTGAACAATAACAATCAGCAGATTTGATTTGTTACAGTTGGTTGAGCTCCCCAAGTATTGTCAAAAATTTTTCATAACTCAAAGTATGAATTTCTTCAGAAAGTAATGTAAGTATAGGCTCATCCGAGACAATATCATTAAAATACTCCTGAAATTGGGAACTCTGTTGTCCCATTGTTGTACAAAATAAATCACATGTAAAATAGGATTTGTCAGGTGACAGCTGACGTCTACAATAGCGCCCTCTGTGAGGAAAGGAACTCGAAATAAAAATTAACGATCGACAAGGTTTATTTGCTGATCAGCCTTATTATAATAAAAAAATTAATTTATTGAGGTTTTCCTCTTCCGAAGCCCCCTCTCTGTAACAAAACAAAGTAAAGATTAACTTAAAACCAACAAAAAACTTACAAATTCCAAATCAGCTGTACCAGCCCCCACATCAGCTTTTTTATCAGATCCAGGGCCCCCGAGAGTCCTTCTGTATCCAGCACGGTCTTCAGAGGGTTTACTAGATGTTTCCGATTTAAATGGTGTGGGACGGGCACGCGTTGTTTCCGTCCTGGCTTGTCTCTTAAGTGTTGATGGTACAATTTCAGGAGGCAAATGCAAAATGGTCCTCAAATATTCAATACCATTATTTGTCAAATACCAATAATAGTGTCGCCACGCAAATTGCTCCTTTACATATCCTTTCGATTTCAAAGACTGCAAAGCTTTGATAACTTGTAAATTGGAGATATTTTCCAATTCGGGATGTTTAGGTGCATGGGTATCTTTCTTGGCTACCATTACACCCTCCTTGAAAAGGTATTCGTAGATAGCAATCCTGTTCTTTTTGGGCATCAACATCCTGCAAAAATTATCATAAAAATATTGAGGTTATGAAACATGTCAACATCAAAGGCAAGTTTAAGTAACACAAAAAACGCTAAAATTCACAATAGACGTAATAAGACTAATCTGTAATTGAGTTACGTGAAATTTGTTATAAAGATGATTAAGATAAATTAAAATTTAGGAAAATAACTTACTTGACGCGATATACACCACAGCTGTCAAAACTGAAAAAGAATCAGTGCTACCAAGCTACTAGTAATTTCTATTTTTAATGTTGGCTTTCTGTAAATAGCTTTTTATTTGACATCTTTTGACACTTGTCAACAATTGTAGTTTTATAATTATTATTAAATTAAAATTAAATAATGGCTTCGTCTGAAGCAATCCAAGTGAGTTCTTTACCGTTGCCTCCAATGCAGTACATCAACCATTACACGGATGAGATGATTCGGCGAGGGCGAACCCCTAGGCCTCCTCCCCCGATTCAAGATACTTATCACATGTTTGGAAACGCGTTTAATACCGAAGAAAGCATAATCAGGCCTCTAGAAAGTCAAGTAAGTTCGTAAATATTTCCCTTGTTAAAAAATTTAATAAATTTATTATTAGGGTATCAAACGATTATATCCCCTCCACTTTGATAGACGAAGGGAATTGAAAAAATTGAACCAGTCGTTGTTGGCCAATTTTCTAGATTTACTCGACTTACTTGTGAACTGCCCCGATTCGCCAAAAAGAGCAGAAAAAGTCGAAGATTTAAGCCTGTTGTTTATTCATATTCACCATTTGTTGAATGAATTTCGGCCACATCAGGCCAGGGAAACACTGAGGGTCATGATGGAGTTGCAAAGACGACAAAGGATTGAGACGGCCAATAGATTTCAGAAACATTTAGACAAAGTAATGGAGATTTTGCAACAAGCAATTCAAAACCTGCCTGAACCAATGGAAGTTGATTCAAAGTTGCTTGTGGAAACCGAACTTTTAGTAAATCAAGAGAAGGCGTCAAAGGAGGAGAACAAATCTGATCCGTGTTTTATCTTAGATAGGATTATGTGCAAAATTGTGGATGATATGTAATAAGTAATTAATTTTCCAAATCGTTTTATTGAATACTAAGTATAGAAAACAAATTCAATTTAATCTCTAAATACTTTCCACAAATTATTAAAATCAACACACTGTCATTTAAATCCGAGTTAGTAGAAAAAAACATCTATTTACAACGCAAGCAGATTGTGTATAAGGATATTTTTGATATCTTACTAAGAATAAGCATGAACTTGTTTTGAATTGCATTTTTGCAATAGTGCTAAAAAACAACTAAAAATTAATTCCTCCAATTTCGGCCCCTCCCTCTTGAGCCACGGCCCCTTGACCGATTACCCCGTGAACCCCCACGATCTATAAATCAATTATTACATTCCAGAAACAAGTATAAATTCTCATACTTACCATACTGGAAGTTATTACTAAACTTTCCACTAGGGGGTGTATACAATTTGACATTGTCCCCGGAACGAGTTGGTCGACTATGTTTAGCCCCTGTATTTCCATTATCAAAAGTGATAGGAACATGTCTTTTTTGTCCACTAGTGGTGGCTGGTTTTTTCTACAAATTGAATATAGTAAACACTTCAATGTTAAAAGTCTTATTACCAATTCTTTCTCCACAATTTCCTGTTTGAAAGAAAGTGTGACGTTACATTTGTACATTGGGGGTTGATAAAACAAGTCTTTGATCAAAACGTTGATGTTGTTGAGTAGTGAGGGGGCAATTTTTGCTTTTGTAGTATTGACAGGATCCAATCCTGTAATGGGTTTTGAATTTAAAACTTTATTGCAGCCTTGTACCCCTCTAGAAAAATAAACCAGTCTTGCTCTAAAATCTTTCAAGATTTGGGGGTCATGAGTGAGAAAATCTGGACACTGACGAGCCAAACGATGAAAAGCAAACAACAGACATTCAACGAAAGAGAACTCCAAGTTGGGCATTTTGTAAACATCGGCATTCTCTGGAGGTGCTGGCATGTACAACTTGATTTTGTCAAAAATTTGAACTACGTGCAAGGAGGGGTTTTCAAATTTGCCACAATAGATACTAAGTTCGGCCAAATGTCTCAATAAATGAAGTTGGAACAATTCTCCTTGGTCCAAGGTAGCGATTTTGTCCCACTGGGGGAGAATCTGATCGCAATAATAAGCCACGAATTTTGTTGACTCGTTTTTTGCCTAAAAAATAGTTAAGAGTAGTGACAAGGGGGCAAAGGGTGTCTTACTGAAAATAAAGGAAGAGCGTGTGTGGTACAAATGATGACTCTGTCAACAATACAATCTTCAAGTGGATCAAAGTCTCGATCAAGTTCCATGATCTCTGAAAGGAAATCTAGGAGTTCCTGTTGACCTGCTGCAGTTTTTCCGTATTTTGAATTTTTTAAGCACCCTATTATCAATACGATTTCCTCAGAGCTAATATCATCCTGCAACTACATAAATAAGTTTTTATTTAATTCGTTGAAACTTTACAAACTTGTAAAAGCTTCTTGGACTCTTCAACAACAATATTCTCTATTTCTGTTGGTTGACTTTCAATGGGTTTGATAAATTTCAGGTGAATGAAATGGAGGCATTTTAGCCTAGCTGCGGCGTTGCTCAAAGAACGAATATGGTTATACATAGTCCTAAGTACATTGACTGAATCTTCCTTCCATAGCTGCAAAAGACACCAAGAAGCAGTTGTGTAATCACGCTGTTCTTCCAACTGCATCATTTGAGCAAGAATATCAGTGACTTTAGTCAAATGCTCCTTCACGTCTTTGCAAACAGAAACCAAATACCGCATCGCACATGCTCGAATTTTGCTTTCTTCGTCTTCACATAAATCCAGCAACGCGTTCAAAGCTTTATCCTGCAGTGAGGGAAAGTGTTTGAAAAATTTCGAAAGTATTTGTGCTGCCAGCATTTTCTCACTTTCGTTGCCTTTGATACCTTCAATGCTCTCGACATATTCGTTCAAATGCTAAAAGTTCGTGTTTTTAGGGGAGATTTAACCAAAAATGTCGTCGTGCTCACCTGGGAGACCTTGTCTTTGGCATCAGATAAAATATTATACTTTTCGTACAATTTCTCCAAGTTGTCACTCATCTTGCTGCTTGTTTCGATAAATCTATTAATCGAAAAGTGGTGGAAAACATTAACCAATATCTTGGCGTTTTTATGTAATTCTATTCAATAATTATTTACACAAACTAGATCACAAACCGGTCATTTTAGCGTGCCCATCGTCCATTTTGAATTGCCGGTACTAAAGAAAACTGTAAATTCTAATTACAAACAACATAAAAAAAAATTTCCTAAAAATTCAAATTTTGATAATTATTTTATTTAACAAAAAATATACAGTATGATGTATAAATAAAACTAGGTTTTTGAATTGACTTGTTGTAAGGAAATTCCATGCTCCAACACCTGTTCCTTTTTCCTACATTTGACAATCAAGGCTTCAAGTGACCACATTAAAATCGTTGTAAAAGTAACACAATTCATTATGACGACACAAAGTTTATAACTACCCGTAACATCGCGAACTAGACCTAAAACTAAACCACCAATTATTATACAAAAGCCATTCATCATCATTTCCATTCCGTTAGCAGAGGCTAGTTTTTCGATAGGAACATGAGCAGGAATCACTAATCCCATGTAGACTTTTCTTATTCCTTTTGCGATTCCGAGACCTAGAGCTATGACTAGCAGGAGGTAGAAGTCGTTCGACATGAGAAAAGCTACAATTTGGGTTTAATTAATATATTGGTGGCACATTACTATACTTACTGAATCGGGTGATAATAAGAAGAATAAGACTATATGCGTACATGAGTCGTGGCGGTTTTGTGAAAAAATTCCCTATATAAGGGGCAAAAAACCGGAAAATAATATCGGTGATTCCAAGTGTTGAGAGAAAAGTTGCGGTTTGTGCCGTATCCAAACCGAATTCTTGTAACATAAATGGTGTCAAAACGGTGAAATTTAATTCAGCGAAAATGGCCAAAGCCATGCCCATCATAATATTGACAAAAATCGGGTCTTTGAGTAAGTCCAAATCGAACGTTTTGACGATGTTTTGGAAGAGTCGCCCCCAGACCGTTTCTTCGGTTTTTGTTACCACTGGGAGTAACTCCTCGATTGTTTGTTTTTCGGTTTTCATATGCCACTCAACCGGTTGTAGTAACAAAGCCGCGATGAAAACATGAGCACAAATACCGCCGAAAATAAAAGTAACATCTTGTGGTGTGTAAATAGTCATCAAAAAACCGATTAATTGAGGGATTATAATAGGCCCTAAGCCGGTTATAGTAACCGCAAAACCCATCGCAACGTTTCTTTTTTCTTTGAAATACATATTCAGGGCTAGTCCATACGATGATTGGCACATACCAATCCCCAAAGCTACGAAAAAACAAACTTTAGATCGGTTTTTCCCCCAAAAGTGTGACTAATTACAAGTTATGAGTCCGTAAGAAACAACAAAGTGAGCAAAACTTTTCGAAAATGACGTAAGTACAACTCCTCCTGTAAGTAAAAATGCGGCAAGAAAAGCAACTTTTCTGCACCCGTAAACTTTAAGTAGTACACCATTGATAAGTCCAGTCATCATTCCGAAAGCTCCATTCAAATTAATGATTAATGAGCCTTGAGTCGCTGATAAGCCGAGTTCGGTGAATGTGTCTTTGAAGATAAGGCCGAAACAATGAATCAGAGGTACTGTAATAAACTGAAACAAAATTGAATTTAGCGCCACATTGATGCCAACACAAATACTACACAAAGCACTAAATTTACATAAAAAGTCGATAATTTGAATTAATTAATACTTACGTTGCTTAAAGCGTTGGCGAAGACTATGACCCAACCATAACCTCCGTCTGGTGGGATTTTAACCAGTTTTTGCTTGTTTTCAGTCGTTTCCATTTTATTTGTTCTTTTTTACGAATATGTGAACGAAACAGAAATGAGTTAAGTACTACTCATGGGAGATTTTTTATTGCATAATTGTTTGCTTGTCAATAGCAGCGAGTAATTACAGCGTGCGCTACAGTCAAAGTCAGGCTTATTAATAACGGTTAGTGATGGAGGTTGGAGTGAATCACTATCATTTCTGATAAATCATCAGTGATAAAGACAAGAGAATTGACTGTGATTTTTTAAATCGTTATCATTTTTTGTTTTGTAATAATTAAAAACCATTTGGAAATATATCTATTCGCAAATGTCTTAAAACTGACTATTTTTGTGACTAACTTCATTAGTAGCTTTCAGCCATGGAGGAAAAATTCTATTTTTACGCCTAAGCATTTTTACTTTTACCATGACATTGTTGACATTTAACAATGTTGTTTCTTTCTTGACTCGTTTGCTGCTTCAACAACTTCTGAAGAGATCATCAGCATTCGACATTTTGCACTACTGAGTGCACTAGTTAAATTAATATTCATTTTCGAAACTCTCATCACAAATTCCGATACTGATGCATGATTATTTTGTTTATTTACTTGCTAGTTATAGTGGTACTCTTTTCTTTCCATCTATACGTTTGTGGATAAAATAGTAAATGTTGTTTGGAGTAAAAGTGAGTTATGTGGCTGAGCTAAATTATAATAAACGTTCAGCGTCGCCACATAAACTGTCACTTTTACTCCTAATACATAATATACTATTTTAGTACTAAAATTAAAAATGCTATAAAATTTAAGACAAAGCACGATTTTTAAAATTTTAAGGCAGTCAAAATAGTCACTTTTTTGTAATTTTTTTGCATTGATGTAAAAATAGAAACGTTCTTCGAAAATTTAAACTTTGATGAAGATCGATGAAAAAACTTATTTTGTATTTTATGCTTATTAGGTTTTGCAACTCATTTTATTTTAATTTTGATAAAAATCATACAAATAGATATACAGGGTGCGCCAGAACTCTCGCCCCAGAGAAAATTTTCAAGTAAGGTAAGATATCAGGAACATGAAAAAAATGTTTAAAAAATTCTATCTGTTAAAATTTTTTTGACATTTGACATTTTTTTATACCTACTTAATTATACTGATGATCTTGTATTTTTTTTTTACAATTATTTAGTAAAGGGACAAAAATTTTGCCAATAAAAGCCACAAATAACATTGAACAGAGTTACAATTTAGGATACAGCTTCCTTGTTTCCTCTTTTAATAGCCTACAGCAAAAAAAACTTGTAAAATTATTTTTCCAACAGAAATAAATAGAGTCAAGGTGCAATCTTTAAACCCTCATAACTTCGAAATTTTTATAGATAATTTTGCTTTAACATTTTTCCCATGTTCCTGGTATCTTACTTTATATGGCATTTTTCTCTGGGGCGCGAGTTCTGGCGCACCCTGTATAATAAAAAAATTCCAAAAATATAAAATCCTCTTTCAACTTGATACAAACTGCATAGTCACTTTTGCGATTTAGGAAAATTTAATAATTATGAAAAATAAAATCACCAAAAATATTTCCAGTCTATGAAATCACAAAAATTTTAATGAAATCAAAACTGCCAATAGCTACGCACTTTATTGTAGTGAAAAACGCAGAAGAATAGTAACGTCATCAAAAAGCAAAAATTCTAAATCAGATCTAGATTTTTTCGAGTCATTTAAAAGTCATAAACTCAAAATTTTCACATTTTCAAAAATAAAAATTAGTCGCTACTGTAATTAATTGTAACTAAGGCGTCAAAAATAGTGTAATTTTTTTCTTTTTAGAGGGGTTAAGCACGTTTTTGAGCTTAAAACCCAAATGTTTCCCAATATTGCGTTAAACTAGGCCGAAAAATCAAAATAGTAGGCAAGAATAATGTCGTTTTCTATTTTTAGGTGTTTAAACAAAAACTCATTTTTTGTGAAATTTTATTAAAAAAGCCGAATAATCACCAAATTAGGTTGTGTGCAATGTTTTTTTTTTGCTTTTGTTAAGTGTTTAAGAACGTTTTCTAGCCAGAAACGCAATTTTGTGAGACTTTTTGCACAAGTTAGGGTACGTCAGGGAAAGATGGACCACACCTACTGTAAAATGATGATCTTTATTATTTCAGTTCAAACCACGAATGTCCGTTCTCATACCATGATCTTTAAGACAACTTGTAAAAGTAACAAAACAAAAAAAAAACATTTTTTTAAACACTCATAAAAATTAAAATATTTTGATGTGTAATTTAAAGGTCTATTAACACTAAATACGAGTTTCTAATTGTTATTTTTTCAATTTACCAAAATCGTAATAGTTTTACCGTTCAGCCATGGAGTAAAAATTCTATTTTTGCGCCTAAGCATTTTTACTTTTACCATGACATTGTTGACATTTACCAATGTTGTTTCTTTCTTGACTCTTTCGCTGGTTCAGCAATTCCTGGAGGGGTACACTGTAGATCATCATTCGATTTTGCACTACTAACTGCACTAGTTAAATTGATAAATATTTTCGAAATCTCAACACAAATTCCGTGATGTTTGTTATACATTTTTTATTTTTTTAATTTATCAATATTTTTTTTATTACATAAAAATCATTTGATAATAAGTAACTATCTTATCATTCGTTTCTATTTCCAAATAATAAGTGAAAAATTGCTAGTGTAAATTAAAAGAAACGTTAAAAAATGTAGAACTTTATTAAGTTTCAATTTACAATAATTTATATTTTATTGTTTGTTGTATCACTAGCCTCTGGGTCATTTTTCTTATATTTGAAAATAAGCCCTTCGATGGTCCACAGGACGATCGTTAAGAAAGTAACAAAGTTCATAATTACGATACAAAAGAAATAACTTCCGGTCAAATCGCGCACAATTCCTAGAATAAATCCTCCTGTTAAAATGCAGAAACCATTGGCCATCATTTCCATCCCCGAGGCCGATGGTAATTTTTCTAGGGTGACATGGGAGGGTATAATTAATCCCACATAGACCCTCCTCACTCCTTTCGCAATCCCAAGTCCTGCTGCAATACCCAAAATTGCGTAAAAGTGTGTCGAGATTAAAAGAACTAAAAAAATCTGTTAACTGTTGCTAATTGTAAAAAAACGTACTTGATCTCATGATAATGAGCACAATTAGTGTGAAAATAAACATTTGTCGCGGTGAAGTTTTCAAACAATCTCCAATATAAGGTGCTAAAAATCTGAACGCGATGTCGGCCACCCCCGCCATGGAGAGAAAAGTCGCAATTTGGTCGTTGTTGAGCCCCAAATCATTCAAAATAAAGGGAATTAAAATCGTGAAATTCAATTCGGAGAAAACTGCAAACGCAAGTCCGATTAAAATGTTGACGAAAATCGGATCTTTGAGTAAATCCAAATCGAAGAATTTGGCAATGTTGCTCAAGCGTTGGTTTTTCGCCGGTTGATTCAAGCTTAAACTGCTGTCGCAAATCTCATTATCACAATACTCATCTTTCGAATCTAGAATTATCCGAAAAAATGTCAAAAGATGACTTTTGATCCGAAATTTTTACTTCTGTCTTGCACAGTGAGCGGTTCCTCTTCCACTTTCATGTGCCATTTGACCGGCTGTAAAAGCAAAGCTGTGACAAAAAAATGTGCACAGATCCCGCCAAAAATCAAAATTACTCCTTCCGGTGTATAAAACTTCATTAACAAATTGATTAATTGCGGTATCACTATTGAGCCAAATCCGGTGATTGTGACTGCAACACTCATCGCTTTGCTCCGGCGTTTCCGGAAGTAGGTGTTGAGGGCTAAGCTGTACGAAGCTCGCGACATGCCCAAACCCAAAGCTGCAATCACTGCAATTAAAACACGTTTCCGGGTGATTGCTACAACCAACATGCGATCATTCCGTAAGAAATGATAAAAAATTGGAAACTCCGGGCGAGTGAAGTCAGTGTGACCCCGGAAAAGTATAGGACTGCAGCGACTAGGGCGATTTTCCGGTAACCGAACATTTTTAACAACACGCCGTTCAAAAGTCCGGTTAGGAGGCCGAAAGCTGCATGAAGGTTCATTATAAAAGAGCCTTGAGCTGCTGATAATCCCAATTCGGCGAATGTATCTTTAAAGATAAGGCCGAAACAATGCATCATTGGGATGTAAATGAACTAGAAATTGACTTTTTACCAGTTTATTGATCCAAAATTGGAAGCTTACATCATTGGGATGTAAATGAACTAGAAATTGACTTTTTACCAGTTTATTGATCCAAAATTGGAAGCTTACGCTATTGAGAGCCATCGCTATAGCGATCACCCAGCCGTAACCCCCATCTGGTGGGGCTTTCGTTATTTTTACATTTTTCATGTTTCACTTTTAGTCGTCTACTGAGCAGACATTTGGCACTCGAATTCCATATCCATGTCGGAGATACCAACGATAAAATCTGAATTGTTTAATGCGTTTTTTATGTTATCTCAAGTCCATTTTTTTCCACTGATATTTGTAATTGAGTGCAGTTAGGCTAAAATGTGGACAACAGTGCGCAAGTCCGGGAAGAAACCGGATTTTGGGCGTTTTACCGGAATTCGTGACGTCACCGGAACATTCATACCATAACACACAGCAAAATCTAAATCCTTTAATTTTAAGTATCAGGTTGTATATTTTACTTTCATTTGAATAAATAACAAATTATTTTAATAAGTTCACAACTTATTTATACTGCAACTAAAAATTAAATTAAAAAATAATTTTAATTAGTGTTTAATTAGTTATTTATTTACTAATAAGATAACACGTAAATGTGGTTTTAAATGACATAATTAAATTAAAGAAAAATTAGTAATACCTAATAAAAAACATCTATTATTAGGTATTAAAATGACGAATTCTGACCAGACACAATTTAACATAACTCTTTAATTTATTGATAGCTTAATTTTTTTAATAAAGTTGCAGTTGTGAAATTAAACAATTTGAAATCATTTTTATTCAATCCAAACAAATTTTTACAACAAACTACAAACACAAGTAATTTTAAATATTTGACAATTTAATTTTACTATAGTAAATTTAATAGAAAATAATATATTAAAAAAAATGTAGATTATTTATTATGTAGTAGGATTTTTTTTTTCTTACTATAACAGTGTTTGTTTTATTAGTACTAAAAATTGATTTGCAAATATTATTGTATTAAAGTTGGAAGTATTTTTTGGTAATAATTTGTTTACTAATAGGGCAGACAGTTTTCCGATGGCTATGATTTTTTTTTTAATACACAAAAATAAACTAAAATCAAAATTGATGGTTTATTTAATAATAACAAAAATAAATTTGTTACAATTCTTTTTTTGTAAAGATTGCCACGAGTTCAAAAGAGTTAACACGTCTACCTGTTTGAATTGAACAAAAATTAATAATGAACTTATTTAATTTGTCATTTACAACTTTATCAAAAAAAAAAAATAAGTATCAATATTTTAATGAGTTATATTAAATAGTCTTTGGTTAGATTTGCTCATTTTATTTCCTACTAATCGATAGTTTTTATTAGGTGTTCCTAATAAAAATATTGTTTTTTTTTTAATTATGTCCTTTATAACGCCATTTACTTGTTATCGTAGTAAATAATTAAACATCAAGTGAAATTACTTTTTAATTTAATTTTTGGTTGCAGTATAAGTTGTGAATTTTTTTTAAAATAGTTTCTTATTACTCACTTAAATGTAAAATCGGTAACTGAACTTCACTTTAAACTAAATACAGGGTGTCCTAATGAAAACGAGGCGCCCCGAATATCTCAGAAACTAAAAAAACTTTGAAAAAACGCCGAAACAGGTCAATTTTGTTTCATATCAAATGAAAGCCATTTTACCAAGCTTTTCAAAACTTTTCACCAAAATTGAATCAGACCATCCATTCATGAGATACAGGGTGTTCTAATAAAAACAAACCGCTTTAGAAAAAATTTACAAAAAAACCCGAAACAGGTTAATTTTGTTTTTAAAAGGGACATTTTTTGACACAATTTTAAAAGCAACTTCACTAACCCTTTAACCTCTATGCCACTTAACTCTAAAATGTCAAATAGCACCAACCACTAGTGATACAAAAAAATGAAAACACTTTTAAAATGCTCTTTAAAAGCTTTTGTCCAAAATGTACAAAATTGTACAAAGGGACTTAAGAACTATATTGCCATTTTTTAGATACTTACATTAAATACAGGGTGAATATAAAGTATGGAACCAAGCGGTTTTATTTTTAATCATTTGCCTCCAGAAAATAATAATTAATATAAATTAAAGTAATATAAAAAATGTGATCGTATTTTCAAAACGAAATTTTGTTTTGTTTTTGAGTTATGCGATTTTTTTGTCAAAAGTGCAATTTTTGTAAAAAAAAAATTGAAAAAATTAAAGATAAAGCAGATAGTTGTAATCCTCAGAGTATAGCTTTTATGGGAAAAATGATTTTATAGTGAGTTGCCATTTAAAAAACTTAAATTTTTTGAAGAATTCAAAAACAAAAGAAAATTTCGAAAAATTTTATTCTTGTTCAATCATCACATTTTTATAGTACTTTATTACTCTTCAATTAGTTTTTTAAAAAAATAAATAGTTTAAGCAAAAAACGTTTGGTTTCATACTTTTTATTCACCTGGTATAAGAAACTTTATTACCCTCTTTCTTTTAGTACGATTATTTTGAAAATAAAATAAAGAATAGAAGTTATTACAAATTAGAAACATTATCTTTTGCGAATATCTTATGAATAGATAATCCCATTCAAATTTAGAAAAGATGTTCAAAGAATTTGATATGTCGCAAAAAATTTTTGAAATTGAGGTGGGAAAAGTTGCTTTTAAAATGGCAAAAATGTTTTTTTTAACAAAATTAACCTGTTTCGTTTTTTTTTTTTGACAAATTCTTTCTAGTTCGGTTTTATTAGAACATCCTGTTTAGTTTAGTGGTGGCTCGTTTCCATTGGGACATCCTGTATTCTGTTAAATAAGAAATGACATTTACAAGGGCTCGCGCGGTTTATTAGGAGGACAATCTTTTCTACGCTGATTGTACCAACTAATGGCCTTGGAACATTAAAAAAAAAGATATTTTAACTTTATTTGTTTGATATTTTATTAATTATTTGGCCGTTATATTGGTATATCTTTAAAAAAGGTGAAAATAAAAACGTTTAGTTGATAATGCGAATATTTTAGTAACAAATAGGTCACGTATGTAAATGAATGCATTTTATCGCAAAATGAGTTAGGTTGACAACAGTTTTAGTCGCAATAAAATTTGTTAAAATTTATTTTTACATCGAATAATTATGGCTTCCCCTGTCCACAATAACAGAGTTACCAACATAACGCCATTCATTGCAAGAATACTGACGACGTAGCTGCCAGTGGCGTCTCGCAGGACCCCAACCAAGGCCCCTCCTGTCAAAATACAAACTCCTCTTAGGAACAAATCAATCCCTGAAGCAGTCGGGAGTTTTTCCAACGGGACGTAATCGGGAACAACAAGCCACATGTAGACTTTTCGCAACCCTTTTGCACACCCCAACACCACAGCAATCGCCAGAAGTGTGTTGTAATTTTTACAGAAAATGAAAACTGAAATGATTTATTACAAGTGTGGAGATAGAGTTTTACAACTGACCAGTTTTTACGATTGTGACAATCACAATCGACGTTGCGAACATAAATCGCGAACTTTTTTTCAACCAATGTCCAACACACGGACTCGCGAATCTTGAAACTAAATCAGCTAGTCCCAAAATAGATAAAAAAATCGCAACTTGGTCCATATTCAGGCCTGAATCGTATAAAATAAACGGCAAGAGAAGCGTGAACGACATTTCAGCAAACGTGACGAGGGAAAGGCCTAAAATAATGTTGTCGAAAACTGGGTCTTTGAGGAGGTCAAAGTCGAATTTGCTCCAATGACTGACTTGTTTCGGGTTGAATTCAATCATTTGGTAATTTTTTCGGTGTTTTTGCACCGGTTGCAGGAGCATGGCTGAAATAAAAAGATGTGCACTAATCCCGGCGTAAATCAAGGCTGTTTGGTGACTTGTATACACTTTGAGGAGGAATCGGAACAGTTGAGGGACCAAAATCGGTGCCAAACCGGCAAAAGTCAGGATAAAACCAGTAACCAAACTTCTTTTTTCCCTAAAATATGTGTTAATAGCCAGACGTTGAGTCGATTCAGCACTGTGCAAACCCAACGCTACAAGAACTCAATTAAATTGAATCGAATTAAAAAAATCTGGTGTGAACATCACACGACTTTCCTTATCCTACTTATTTGGAAAACATCTCAACGACAATAATTTAGTGTTGGAAATCCGAGTAGCAAACCTAAATATCAGACATAATTCAGATTAGTCAACTGTATTTTAGAAAGTGTTCAATTCAGAGTTTGTCATTTGTAATTGAGAATTTCTCAATTGTAATTCAGAATTTGTTATATTCATTTAAAAATTACACCATCAAAATCCCTTTAAAAATAAAATGTTTTATTTATTTTGTAAAATACCAAGTTTATGTAAATCTTTACTTTTGAAAATAAAATAATTCGTGTTTATGTGTAAACTTATTTTGAGGTAACAGTAAGTTGCTTATTTGAATTGCAATTGATATTTTCTGGATTACATGTAACATGAAATTGAATTTACTGTTCTGAATTACATGTAATGGTTTCTGAATTACAATTAATACATTCTGAAATACAATTGACAATCTCATGGTTTCTGAAACTCATTTTACTCTTCTGGATTACAATTAACACTTTCTGAAAGACAATTGACTAATTTAAATTACAATTTGCGTTTTCTGAAACTAAATTAACTAATCTGAATTACATGTGATGGTTTCTGAATTACACTTGAAAAAGGTGGAATATTACTGAAAGGTTCCAAATTTTAATATACAAAAAAAAAAAAAACTACATTATTTTTAGCCTAAATTGTATTCAGTTGTAAATTTGCTAATAGGTACAGACTGAACCAAAAGTAAGGCACAAAATTCATATCTTTGTTAGTGGTCGTTTTTCAAAAAAGTCCTTCAACATGTCGACTTTATTTTTTTAAATGCTGTTTTCACATTATTGTGACATTTGTAATGTCATTCGTTTTTGAGTTGTGACCTCATTTTTAATTTTTTTAAGTGACACAACTGACATTTTTCTTCACTGTTCTAAATAGCACACATCTTTATCTTTCTGGTAATGGGAAAAAAAATAAAAAAATGAAATTAAAACTTAAGAAAAATTACAAAAGTAAAAAAATATTGCCAATTAAACACAAAAGACTTTATCGTTTTGTTCCTGCCTTATTTTATAAGGGACAATTGTTTTTTTTTATATATTTTTTAAAATAAGCATGAAAACACTTAATATGCAACTTAAACACAAAAATATATAAACAAAAAAACAATCACCATTATAAAATAAAGCAACAATAAAGCTCTTTGTATAAAACTTTCTATCACTTTTTTAAGTTTTTTATTTTATTCTTGTTTTTTTTTTGGATTTTTTATGCTTACCAGAAAGATAACGATATGTATTATCTAAAACAGTAATAAAAATGTGGGTTGGCATTAAAAAAAAATTATAGGATAAGGAAAGTAAAAAATCACTCACAAGTTATCACCCCGTGAAAAAAAACAAAACTTGCGAAATTGTGAGAGAATGATGTTAGGATAATTCCCGTAGTTGTGAGAAACGCTGCTAGAAAAGCCGCTTTTCTGCACCCACAACTTTTCTGCATTAGCCCGATTAAGGGGCCCATTAACATGCCAAAAGCCCCATTCATGGAAATAATCAGCGAGATTTGAGTAGCTGTAAGATTACTCTCACTGAAGGTGACTTTCAGAACCATTCCAAATGATTGTATGATTGATAATGTAACAAACTGAAATTGTGGTTTATTACCGGACAAGGGCGGAAAATGCTACTTACGCTACTCAACGATGATGCAATGACGATAATCCAGCCGTAGCCGCCCTCAGGATACATTTCTTTGTCTTGTTTCATTTTCAAACTGACTAAATATTCTTGTCACAGGTTAAAAAAACACTAAATACAGACATAAAACCGTTTATTTTTGTTGTTTCGTTAAGTGTTTCTATGTAAAATTTTAATTTTCGTGTATTTCGTTAAAATAGCTTCTATTGACCATAATAATATTGTGGTTATCGTAACGCAGTTCATTACAATAATACATATTATGTAGCTACCAGTGACGTCACGTAACGCCCCTAAAATCGGTCCTCCAATCAAAATGCAACACCCACGTGCAAGCATGTCTAGCCCAGCGGCCGATGGTAGTTTTTCCAATGGGACATAATCGGGAATTACCAACCACATGTAAACCTTGCGAATTCCTTTAGCTATACCCAAAGTGAAAGCAATGACAAGGAGGAAAATGAAGTTTTTCGAGCAGAGGATCGCTGGAAAACACCAATTAAATCATGGTTTGGAGGAAAATTCGACTTACTGAATTTAATTATAACGAGGATAACAAGAGAATAAGCAAACATGAGTCTCGAAGGCTTGGTGAAATAATTTCCGACATAAGGGCCCAAAAAGCGTGAAATCATGTCGGAAATGCCCAAAGTCGAGAGAAAAATCGCGATTTGATCCGTGGTTAATTTAAAATCATTGAGGATAAACGGGACGAGAAGAGTGAAATTGATTTCGGCAAAAGTGGCCAAAGCTAGTCCAATAATAATGTTATTAAACACCGGGTCTTTGAGTAAATCCAAATCGAAAATTTTGGCCAAATTATCGACAATTTTGCTTAGGAAATTTTCCTCCAAAATGACTTCATTCCGTTCTTTGAGCTCAATCTTTTCCACTTTTGTCCCTTGTTCCTTCCAATGCCACTCAATTGGTTGCAAAAGGGCCCCCGCGATGAGTATATGCGCACACAGCCCCCCATAAATCAGCGTCACCTCATTGGTCGAGTAATTTTTCAACAAAACTCGAATCAATTGGGGAATCAAAATCGGCCCAAATCCCGCCGCTGTCATTATAAATCCCGTCACTAAACTCCTCTTCGTTTTAAAATACTGATTAATCGCCAGTCGCTGACTCGATTCGCACATTTGCATCCCAAGGGCTGAAACTCGCAATTAAAACACGAATTACCTCAGGGCGTAAAATACAAGTTACGAGGCCATAAGTGACGACTAGAGAGCCAAAAGTCCGGGAAAACGACGTTAAAACCATTCCGAATGTGAGCAAGAGGCCCCCAACAAATGCGATTTTTCGACATCCGAAAAGTTTTTGCAAAACTCCGGTCACGGGTCCGGTCAAAAGACCGAAAGCTCCGTTTAAGTTGATGATGAGGGAGCCTTGGGTCGCTGAAAGGTTCAGTTCGGCGAAGGTGTCTTTGAGGACGAGGCCGAAACATTGAATGAGGGAGAGGGTGATGAACTGAAAGTTGAGGTTTAGAGGGTTGGGGGCTGTTGGCGACTTACGTTGGTTAGGGCGCTGGAGAAGACCACCACCCAGCCGTAGCCTCCATCGGGATGCGTGGGCCCTTTCATTTTTGGTCAAAACCCAGGTTTTGTGCGGACTTGATCTAGTAAGACACTGATTTAGTTTGAAAATGGAAAAAACACCAATTATAACAATAACGGAGGAATTGAAAGCAAGGTTAAATGATCATTTGCGATTTTATTATAATGTAATGTTTTCCTTATTATAATTAAAAAAAAAATCAATTCGACACGACTGTTTTGTCCAATTTCGCGTACCACAGAGCTGCACTTATGGGCCGTTTCCACTTCATTCATATGCATGGTTTCCAATTTTTCACGAATTTTTACTGATTATAATGAGATTAATTACTAATTACCGATGTTAAATAAGTGTCATAAAATTTAAATAATGCCTGAAGCGTTTTCACATTTAATTGCATAACTTGCTACGTAACAATTGTCGCTACAAACTAAAGTCATCCGGGTTCTGGAACAGGCCCGTAGCCAAAAATTTTCAGTGGGGCTAGAATATCTGGATTTTTATACCGGGTGGGGCATCGGTTACGCGAAGAAAAAAAATCCCCACTTCTAATTAAATGAAAATTTTCACACTTACCTGGGCATTGATAAGGTATATTTCATAATTTTTTGGCAATTTTTCATTTACAATCAAAGCCAAAAAAAAAAAAAATTCTCACAAAATGTTGAATTCTAATTTCATACTGACCTATGCAGATTAACTTCCTGTAATTGCTTACAAAATCAGAAAAAAATACCAAATACATTTTGAATTAAACGCAATTTTCCATTTTAACTTTGAAAATCATTTTTATTTAAAATTTCAATATACAAAAACAAAAATACCTAATTATTTTTATCCTAAATTTTATTCATCTGCATTATTGCTAATACAGACTGAATCAAAAGTAACGCACAAAATTCATATCTTTGTTAGTGAACAGGTGATTTTATTTTTTAAATGCTATATTCTTACATTATAATGACATTTATAAAGACATTCCTTTTTAATTTTTTTAAATAATAACAAATGACATTTTTGTTCACTGATTTAAATAGCACACATCTCTATCTTTCTGGTAATCAGAAGAAAAAATAAAAAAATCAAATTAAAACTTCAAAAAAAATAAATTTAAACAAATAAAAAAATATTGCCAATCAAACACAAAAGGTTTTAACTTTTTGTTCTTGTCTTGTCTTGCTATCAAGGGCAACTGTTTTTTGTATTTTTTTTAAATAATTGGCATGAAAACACTTATTATGAAACCTAAACACAAAAGAAGATAAAGCTCTTTGTATAAAATCTTCTATAACTTTTTTAAGTTTTTTTTATTTTATTTTCTACGTTTTTGCTTTTTTTTACTTTATTTAAAAAAAAATATGTTTACCAAAAGGATAACGATGTGTACTATCTAAAACGTAGATAATAAAAGTGTCGATTGTCATTTACAAAAAAAATTAAAACGACGTCATTACTGGAAAACGAACGACGTCAAAAATGTCACTATCGTGTTAAAATTTATATATTTGTTAGTGGTCGTTTTTCAAAAAAATCTTTGAATGGGTCGATTTTTTTTTAATGCTATATTTTCTCATTGTAGTGACATTTATAACGTCATTCGTTTTTGAGTTGTGACGTTATTTTTAATTTTTTTAAATGACAACTGACATTTTTGTTTACTGTTTTAAATAGCATACATCTTTATCTTTCTGGTAATAAAAAAAATTAAATTAAAAAAATGAAATTAAAACTTAAAAAAAAAAAATTTTAAATTAAAAAATATTGCCAATTAAACACAAAAGACTTTATTTTTTTGTTCCTGCCTTATTTTATAAGGGGCAATTGTTTTTTTATATACTTTTTAAAATAATTAGCATGAAAACACTTAATATGAAACTTAAACACAAAAATATAAAAACAAAAAAACAATCACCCCTTATAAAATAAAGCAGGACCAATGAAACAACAACAATAAAGCTCTTTGTATACAACTTTCCTTAACTTTTTTAAGTCTTTTTATTTCATTTTCGTCTTTTTTGAATTTATTTTGCATTATTTTTGGGATTTTTTTTATGCTTACCAGAAAGGTAACGATATGTATTATCTAAAACAGTAATAAAAATGTTGGTTGATATTCAAAAAAAAAAAAATGACGTCATTACTTGGAAACAAACGACGTCATAAAAATGTCAGTACAGTGTCAAAATGTAGCATTTAAAATCGACGTGTTCAAGGATTTTTTTGAAAAATGACTTAAAACAAAGATATGAATTTTGTGCGTTACTTTTGGTTCAGTCTGTATTATAACTGTATGTGTTATTATTTCTAAAGAAAGTTGTTAAAAAAGTTTAAAAAGTTTCAGAATATTCAAAGTACTTGGCCCCTCCCTAGCTTCGGGCCTGTCCTGTAATTTTGCAATTTTGATTAAAATCAGATTAAATTGTAAGGAAAGTTCAAGAACAAACCGACACTTAAACGAAAATTTTAATAACAAATTAACTAATTAATCAGAACTAAGTCGTGATTTATTCTCGTATTGTATTTTCAAAGTCCGTTTAGTGTTTCTACAAGAAACAGTAGCAAGATTTATTATTTTTCGTGCTAAAAACAAGCTGAAACGATGCAAGTAAGATTTTCAGATTTGCTGAATTGGTGATCAATCCAATGTTTCAGCTTGATTTTCAAAGACACATTTTCCGATTTGCCCCTTTCAGCAACTGCTCAACATAAACGCAGTTTTTTGGCCCCTTGATTAGTGCAATTGTGGCAGGGTTTCTGCTGACAGCAGGAATGGTGCTGAACTCATTTTCGTCCAGTTTGATTCACTTGCTACTCTTTTACGGCTTTGTAACTTGTACATTTATGCTCTAGAGTTGGTAAGTTTTTGTTAAAAGTGAAATTGCAGCGCTTGGTATGCAAATGAGCGAGTCGGAGCAAAGACTAGCCTTGAACGTATATTTTAAAAAGAAAAGGAGTGTTGCGATGGGATTTGGAGTCACAGAGGCGGGTGTCGGCCCCATTTTGGTACCACAACTGATAAGATTTTTGTTAAATCCTAAAATTATTGACAAACTTAGACCAAAAACCGGGATTTGTGCCAAAATCCTGAATGGTTTGGATTTGGACTTGTTAAAAGACACGATTTTCGCCAACATTTTGATTTGGATTGGATTGTGTGAATGGAATTTTACGCTTTTGGTGCCGTTTTTGATTTGAGTACCGATTAGATTGCAATTTTTCTATCAACTCTTGGTGTTGTTGACATTTTTTTTTCGGTTTTTTGGCCCCTATCTCGGCGATTATTTTACCAAACGCTCGCGTGTGATGTTTTCTTATGCCGTCATTATTTTGATTTTTATCAGATTTAGTTAATATTTGTTTTCAGGGCCGTACCCAAGGCGGGGGGGGGGGGGAATTAGGGGGTTCAAACCCCCACCCCCCAAAATGCTCAGCACTTTGTTATATAGTGTAATAAGTGTTAAAAATTTAGTTTTTTTGTTATTTTAGTGAGTTAATTTTAAATTTTTGTGAATTAATTTTTCATGTGTTAATTATACAGTGTTTCATTTTTATTGTTAGGTACAAATTTAAATAGTTGATAGAATATTTAATTTTAAGACAATAGTGTTTCAAAAAAGGGTACGTTTTTTAAAGGGTTTTTCCTAATATTTCAGAATAGATAAAATAACAAAATTTTTAATTAGGGGCGTCCTAAACGGTAAAACAAATTTAATTTTTATGCTGTTTATGGTCTGTAACATAAATTTTTAAACCGATTTTTACTAAATATCCGTAAATTGTATCGGCAAAACACAAAAGACGTTTTTTTTTTATGAAAAACTATGAAATTTTGTTGGTGAAACTGGCAAGGCAACATTTTATTTTTGTACTTGTTTAGGTGTATAAAAGTTATCATCTGTACCAAACTTTAAATTTTTTTCTAAATTGATTTTGGAAATATGGAAAAAAAAAACCTATTAAAAGACGCACCCCTTGCGTAGCATTTTTCGATATATGTTCATAGAAAATTTTTGTTTTAAAAATGAATATTATATCTCCTGTTTAAATTTGAAACAATAAAATGTATAAAAAAATTATTTTATTTTTTGTTACTTTTGTGAGTTAATTTGTATTTTTTTATGTTTAATTAGGATTTCTTATTTCAATTTAAAATGAAAACGTGTACTTAGAGATTTTTGCTTTTTAATCTTCCTTCTTTCATTTCATTTTCATGGACCAACAAGAAACCCCCCCTGAAATAAAATCCTGGTTACGGCCCTGTTTGTTTTTTTGTTTTGTTTCAACAATGGGAGTGAATGAGGTTTTAAAGTCTATTTTTTTTTTAATGGAAATTACCAAGTCAAAATTTTGGTGAAAAAATTGCTAGCAGCTTGTCTCCATTGCCACAAATTTTGTTTATTCTTTGTAAAGTCTTTAGAAATTTTGTTAAAAAATTAGGGTTATGTTTTCAAATTGCAATGTTGTCAAAATTTTGACTTTTATGAATCTTGTGTGCCTGTTTGCTCTTTGAAAACTCTATAATTGAATACCTGAGGACAGACATCATTATCTAAGGTCTAAAAACAGAATTCAGTGATAATAATTTTGATAGAAACACACCGTAAGTAAGTACAATGTTGTGGTCAAAAATGAGATTCTTGCTACAAAAACTTTGAAGAAAAAGGATGTATATACAGAAAAAAGTTATTTAGCAGAAGAGTGGGTATTATGATGATTGGCAATAAATTTTATGTAATTTATTGAAATGAGCTCAAAGTTGATGCATTTTATAAATTCTTCTTCAGGTTTAGTTTCAAAATTGTTACTTTTTTAACTCGTTCCTCAAAAACATGCACAACACTAATTTAATTGCGTTCTTTCCGAGGTTCTTTCTCATTCATGTTTATTTTGTATTCTTGTCAATTTTTTGCTAAAAATTGAGAATGTTTAGCAAACCAGCATTACAAATTGCTTTTTTCTAACTTCCTGCTTGCGAACTATTCGTTTCCAAATTTCTAAAAACTGTTAGCAGTACCAAATTTGTCCCTTTTTTGGTGTTTCGTCTCTAATTTTTCTTAGACGATTTTTTGTGTTGACGTTTAATGACATTGTTTTCAAATTCACAAAACCGGAACTGCCAACTTCCTTCATTAAAATTACCATGTATGAATTTACTAGTGGTGCCAACGTTAAGACCATTAAAAAAAAAACAGACTACATGTATTTGGTTATTCCCGATTACGTCCCAATGGAAAAGCTATACCATCGGCTGTAGGCATGAAAACTTTGGTTAATGGATTATGTATGTTGATTGGTGGTCCCATTTTGACGTATTGTGTTACGATTTCGTCGATCGTTTTATGGTTGATTGAAGTTTTCATTGTGAAATATGCAAAGAAAGGGCGATATTAAAGAAATGTTGACCGAATTTTGTGGCATTTTTAACATTCAGTAGGTGTAGGAAAGTGTCTATTTTGGTTTCGAGGAAAAATGTAAATAGGTGCCTAGCTCAACGACATCGATTGATACTCTTAAGTGATATAAAGTAATTCTCCCGGTGGTGAGGCGAAGTGAAATTAATTTTCAAAAGGCATGACTCGACTGGGGGCTTTCGCGAAATAAATAATAGGCGGACAGTGGCGGAATGCAGATTGAGGACGAATTTTTTTTACCAAAAATAAGTCACTTTGGGAGAAAACTCATTCTCGCCCACCGCTTTTTATTGAGACGAGTTGATTTGTTTGTGACAAATTAAAAACACGAAATCCGGGCGATTTAAAAAATTAACAAAAAAAGGGTCTCAAACTGTAAACATCGCCGGGATCATGATCCCCGTTGACACAATTCGATTATTGAACCATTTTATATTTACACCTGTAATGTCACGTTTCAGTTTTCTGCTAAAAAATCACGTTTATAGATTCAACTCGAAATGAGCAAAATTACATTTTGATTGTATTTCGGGTCCTCTTCAAGTCGAATCAAAGCGAACCGAAATGTTACACAGACTTGATGAATTTTTTCATGAGGCCCCCTTGGCGCTTTAATCGTCCAATTTCCGGCATTTGCAATTCTATTAAATCAAGGGGGCCATCGCTGGCGGCTCTTATTAGCGTTCGACTTTACTTAATAATAATTGTTTTGCATTTTAAGAGGTAGCCGTGACGTAAACAAAGGTGGCGGCGCACGCCGCCACCCCCAAATACCGCGCAATATAAAACCACCACCAGTCGCTTCAACCCCTCATTGTCCACGAGACACGATGAAGACTTTTCTCATATACAGTGCGTGTGTTGTGCTTTTCTGTATCGCGAATTGTCTGGGAGGTAAGTTGGACTTTTTCGCAATGGGTGACGAAAAAGTCGCTTTTCAGAACCGAAAGAACCGAAACGGAATAAATTGGCGTCGGTGTACGCGCTAACGCCTTCGTTGCGTGTGGGCCGCCGGTCGAGTCCGGACCTGGATTTTCCCAAAGGCCCTTTTGCAGACGTCAAACGCAGGATAGGAAAAATGGTCTCGTTTCCACGGATTGGGAGAAGCGAGTCGAATTGGGTGCCGGATGATAACAGTTATGGGGCGCAGAGACCAGGGGCGAACTCGGGGGGGATGTGGTTCGGGCCGAGATTGGGACGTGTCCAGAAGCGGAGCGACGATTTTACCCCATGGGCTTATATTATTTTGAACGGTGAGGGGCCCATCATCCGGCAGGTCCATTACAGCCCCAGATTGGGGCGCGAATCCGAGGAGGCCTACGAGGAGGTTTTGGACTCGAATTTGGACGTTCTCTAATTTTACCGCACCGTTCATTATAGTGACAGGCTGGACATTATAATGATTATAGAATTTTTAATGCACCGTTTCACTGTGAAAATAAAACACTTTAAAATGAAATAAATTATTTGTATTTTTATTGGATGGTTTTAATTATCTCGACGAATCTATCTTTGGCGTGAAAATCCTTGTAGGTCGCGACGTAAGCCAGCCTGGGGGCAAACTCGCTCAAATAATATTGAAGCAGTCTCGGATGACGAGGCTCCACTTCAAGAAACAATTTTCCATTTGTGGTTAAACATTCGGATGATACTTTGAGGACTAATTTAATAACGTTTAAACCGTCAACACCTCCGTCCAAAGCGTCCAAATCCTCGTACCTAAAACTCCCAATTAACCAATTTTTTACATAAATGCCCTTTTTACAATTTAATTTCAGGCTGTAGCTTATCCAAATCCTCGCTGAAAATATAAGGCGGATTCGAGACGATTATATCGAATTTTTCGCGACAGTGCCACTGGTCTAGTTGGCTCTGAATGATACGGATGCGCTTGTTTAAACCGGCCTTTTGTGCATTTTCTTTTGTTAAGTGACACGCCGCCGTCGATTGATCCAAAGCAGTGGCTTTTATCTGGAAATATCAATGCCAAAATGCCACTATGTGAAAAAATTCCAATTACTTGCGGACGTTCCTGGAGGAGAGATAACGCAATGGCACCGCTGCCACAACACAAGTCCAAAACATGACCACAGTTTTTACCATCAATTTCCCCCAAAACAATATCCACAAGTTGTTCCGTTTCCGGGCGGGGGATGAACACCGGAGGAGACATTTTCAACACCAATTGCCGGAAGTAACACTCGCCTAGCACGTATTGAACCGGAAGCCTGCAACATTTAGCATTATTACCACTTTTTATAACACCCCCAATTACATTTCTAGTCTTTTCAAGCATAAAGATTCGACCATTTTCACTTGATCCTCATTTAAAACTCTATCCCGGTGTTTGTAAACGTCTGAAATCTATAATAAACAAATAAATGGTTGGATTATTGCTAGTTGGTGTTTTTACCTTCGGTGTGCCCAAACAATGCGCTAAAATGTACTCAATTGACTCCCGAGGCTCCGAAATCGAGTTCAGTTTGAATTTTTCGCGCCAAGTTTCAAATAGGGCGCCAACGTGACGCGACGAAATGTTCCCAGTTTTGTTGACGCTTGTGTTTTTTAACCTTACAATTTTTTGTAAAATGTGTGAGAAATTTGTGGAAAAAAATGTAAAACACGGTGTGGCCTTACGTAAGTACTGCATTTTTGTGTTTTAGGAGCGTTTTAATCGATTTTTGCGTCACGCACCGGTGTAACGAGTTAAATGTAACACATTTGAATTGAGGGGGGGTGGCGCCAAATTTGAAAAAGCCAATGATTTATTAAAATTTTTATTATAAATTAGTGGGACACAAAATACTGTCATGGTTTTTAAAGTAGAGTGTCTGATTGTTCAATTGCTTCAGTCTTGGGGCTTTTCCTCGCATGGATTTTCCTAATAATGCCTTCTATTGTCCACATTGCAATCGTGGAAAATGTCACACAATTTAAAATTACTATACATAGGGTGTAATTCCCTGTAATATCCCGGACTTTTCCAATGACCGGTCCTCCGATTAAAATGCAGAACCCATTGACCATCATTTGGAGCCCCCCAGCCGAGGCTAATTTCTCAATGGGGACATAGGTCGGGATTACGAGCGACATGTAAACAGTCCGGATCCCTTTCGCAATCCCCAAACCCAAAGCTACTCCCAGCAAAATATAATAATTATTTGAAATCAAAAGCGCTGAAATAAAATTCTTAATTGCACACTTTCTCCCAATCGCAAAACTTACAAAAACGAGTCAACATTAACATGAATAGAGTCACGACGTACATCTGTCTCGGTGGTAATTTTAAAAATTGTCCGATGTAGGGGGCCAAAAACCGGAAAATGATATCAGCGATCCCCAAAATGGACATAAACGTGGCAATTTGATCGGTTGTGAGACCAAATTCGTTCAAAATAAACGCAGTCAAGAGGGAGAAATTGATTTCGGCGAAAATGGCTAGTGATAAACCGATCATAATGCTGATGTAGATCGGATCTTTGAAAAGATCAAGATCGAAAAAGTTGGATAAACGCTCCCAGGTTGTTTTCTGTTTTATCGGTTTGGTCATTTCGGGGTTGTAGACGATTTCTCGCCGGTTTAGACTATGAATTGAGGCGGCTTTTTTCCAGTTTTGGGACACCACAGAAGCTCTGCGTTTGACTAAAAACTTGAATTATTAAAGAAATTTGTAGGAAAAAATCTACCTGAATGTAGTGACATCACACTGCCGGCTAGTGCCGAGTCCATTCCATAAATTGGGCCGTTTTCCACCCCATCCAGTGATTCGGTTGAGTTATCTAGGGATTTTTTCTCGACTTGTGAGTCTAAAAAAAATATTTTTGATTTTATGCCAAACCCGCAAAGGAAAAACATTTTTTGCTTTACCTGAAACGAGCAGAGAAAAATTATTCGAAAGTCGAAAATCAAGAGAAAAATTAATTTTTATTTTGACTGAACCAGAATAACGAATTTATAAGTACAGATTTGCTCGTTTTAAGTAAATCAAAAAATACAAAATTATCACTGAACATTTTGGGGTCTAATGAGCCCTAAAGCACTTATGATTTCGACGCCTATGACCGAGACCGAAACGAAAAATTTCACGAAATTACAAGATGGGTGCTTTTCCCTTCTCGGGTTTTCCCATGGGTAATTTAGTCAAAATACGCAGAGGCCCTGGCGTCTTCGATTTTTCTAAGAAAAATGCTAATAACACATCTTCAGTGAAAACATCATTCGTCGCAGACCATTTAATGAAATTTTCATATGTTTCATTGTACCGATCTTTGGATTTGTTCGGCAAAAAACTTCTGCATACAATATTTGCAGCTTCTTCAATGAAATTCATTTTACACTAAATTTTGACCAAGATTTGATAAATGTCAAAAAAGTATGTAACTAAACTAACGTTAACAACAAGCTATTTTGTATTAATTTTACTATAATTACTGAATCATTTTATTTTATTAAATGCTGGAAGGGAGAATGAAGTTTAGTATATTACACGCTCTTTCAGGTGTCCGGAGTTTTCAAATATCCTCGCACCTAAAAGTAAGCTTTTTTAGTTTGTGTAAATAATTATTGTTGTTGAAAATTTATTACTTCATGTCATGATTGCGAGAAAACACTTTTTTTTTTGTGAGATTTTTTGTGAGTGCATTGCAGTGTGAAAAATGCAAAAATTTAAACAGTGATTTTGCAATAAATAAATTAGAAAAACAAAAAAAAAACGCTCAATCATAACAACAGAATTACGGTTCTGATGGGTTTTGTAAAAAAATATTTATAAATTTCCTACAGATTTTTACTCTTGGCTTGAATAAAATTCGTGAAATTTTGATGTTCAAAATCATTTTACACCGTTATAAATAAATATAGAATTTTTTAAATATTTTTCCGCAATATCTTATAATTTTATTAAGCTATTTTTCTATATTATCCAAAAAAATGTAAAAATAATTTTGGTGTTCTATACCCTTAAGTTGGTGTACTTACCACTCCTGTAGAGGGGAATTTTGGTTTCTTCGGGGTTTTTCTCCTCGTTTGTTTCTTCGACAGTTTCCGTTTTCATGTGCCACTTAATTGGTTGTAGTAAACTCGCCGCAACGAAAGAATTAGACGCAATACCGGCGAGTATTAGAGTTACTCCTTGTACTGCATGCATTTTCATTAAAACGTTGATTAATTGGGGCATGAGTATGGGTCCTAGGCCTGTGATTGTCATGGCATATCCCACCGCTTTGCCTCGATTTTTCCGGAAATAGCTGTTGAGTGCGAGACTGTAAGCCGACATATTCATGCCCATGCCGAGTGCTGGAATGGGTTTTTCAAAAATCATCCAAAATTTGATGAAACTGACAGACCTATACTAACATGTTATAAGACCGTAGGAGATCATGAAATGGGTGAAGGTGCTGGAATATGCCGTCATGATGATTCCTACTGTTGTTAGAAACGATGCAGTCATTGCGATTTTGCGATATCCGAAGATTTTCAAAAGGAAACCATTGAAAAGACCCATGATCATGCCGAAAGCGGCGTTTAGGTTAATTATTAGGGAGCCTTCGGTCGCTGATAAGCCCATTGCGGCGAATGTGTCTTTAAAGATAAGGCCGAAAGTTTGAATTAATGGGACTATTATGAGCTGAAAAAGATGTTTATCGGTTCGAGTGCGTGATAGAGCAAATATTTCAAATTTTATGTAATGTTTTGCTTACTTACATTGCTTATAGCGTTTGCTAGGACTATAATCCATGCGTAGCCACCATCAGGAGGTACTTTAATCGTAGTCACCATTTTTTCAATTTTTTTTTGTTTATTAAACAAAATCGCAACTTAACTCTTGCGTACTATTACGATGAGAATAAGGTGATAATCGAGATTCTGTTTATATAGAGACCCTGAATTGATGCGATAAGTTATTATCAGAACAACGAAATTTTCAAAGTGAACGATGACACACGAGTTTTATATAATTGCTGAACAATCATATTTCTCTATTAATTGTGGGGTACTTATGAAAAACAACAATTAACTTCATTTGGTACTGGACGAGTGAATTGTGCGGGTCGCGTCCCTCAAGGATGTGTCACGGGAACTGTTTTGTGTGTTTTAAAAAATGATAATAAAACTTGTTTGCCACCGAAATTAACTCTTAAGAGAAAAATGGAATTCAATTAATGTTTCTTCATATTTTCACATTACACTTTTGTATTTTTCTGTTTTTTCTGTTTACTATTTTCTTGTTTCATTTAGTCTTTCTGTTTAGTTATATTGAATTACTTTCAGGTTTTCTGTTATTTCGATTTTTTTGCCTACTTTTATCCATTTTTGATAATTTTCTTCTTTATCCAATATTTCTGTCCTACATTCATCTAATTTTAAGTCCAATTTCATATTATCTTGTGCTTTCTTTTTACTCGTTTTTAACATCCTTGTTTCCAATTTTTTAACTTTTATTTCTTTCTTTCTTATTTTTTATAAATTCTATCTTAAATGTTTTTAACCTCGCTTTGTCTTTTTTTAAACTTTCTTTCAAATCATTTTTGTCATCAAATTGTTCTGCCTTCGCAAATTATCTTATTCTGATATTTTCTGTTTTTGGTTTGCTTTTAAATTAACTAATGACAAACTAAAACACAGTATCTAAACAAAATGAATACTATATTGTATTA